TAAAGCTAGAGTCAGAGACGAATGGGGGTGGGCATTGTGGGAGGGAGGCTTCAACCCTAACTTGGCAAGTAGCACAAGAACACTGTGTGACTGTCTCTCTGGTTGGGTAAGGATGTCATTCGTAAACCATGCAGACCCTCCATTGGCTTTGCCCATGATAGCCCAGAGAATTGACGAGTCTCAGCGGAGATTACCTCAGGCTTTGTCCAGTTTCTGCTCTCTTTTATGAGATCGGCTTGCTTACATGTAAGTCTGTTGCAATTAGCTGCAGTAGTAGAAGAAATGATACGTGTAAGGTCAATCGTACCTCACATCTGTGTATATACATTGCCCTATAAAAGCTCTGGATAAAGGCTATCCATGTCCTTTTTTTTTTCTGTTGGGAACCCCTCCTCTTGGGAGTTTCTCTCACTTTTCCTTAATTTCTCCCTCTTCTGTTAATAATTCTTTTAAAAATTTAAAGAGGTTTATTTCTTTAATGTGTGTGAATGTTTGCCCACATGCATGTCTGTTTACCATGTGTGTGCCGTGCCTGAGGAGGACAGAAGAGGGCTTTGGGTCGCCTGGAGCCAGAGTTACAGATGGTTGTTACAGATGGAGTTACAGATGGTATGCCATGTGAGTGCAGAGAAATAACCCTGGGCCCTATGGAAGAGCAGCTGGTGTTCTTAACTGCTGAGCCGTTATCCCAGTCTCCTTTGGTAATCCATAATAAAGCCTGCTTCCACTTGGAGTACTCCCAGGACAGTCCCTATCTCTAACTCTCATTGCCGTAAGAGAACAAACATGGAGCCACTCTTACAAATGAAACCTTGATGACTGTGGATATCAGGCATCTTACAACTCTGGTTCAAGCTCAGTTGGGCAAGATGGATCTTGTCACTCTCAAAAACCCTGCATCAAGACCACGACTCAATAAATAATTAAAATAATGTAGAAGTACAAGGCGCATATTTTGGCTGATGGGTCCAGAATTTTCCACCCATGGATTCCTGTCTCCACTGTATTAGCCAGAATGAAGCAGAATATCATGGATGTAGAAGCATGAGCAGAAGGCTGCTTCATAAAAAACAGGAAGCAAAATAAATAAATAAATAAATAAATAAATAAATAAACAAAATAGGAAAGAAGCCTTATGAAGGTACAGCTTTCTAGAGCATAATCCTAATTATCTATTTCCTGCAACTGGACAAGATCTTCAAAGATTTACACCACCTGTCAATGACAAGTTTCACCCAGGAGCCTCATGGGTGATATTTAAATTCAGATGATAACAAGAGTCTACTGGAGATTCAGAACTTCGGCGGTTGCAGACTTCTGTGGAGAAGGGGGTTGTACCATGTGCCACTTGTTTAGAGAAGGATAGCATCTTAGGTGGCTTGCAGAGATCTCTGTAGAAGGCAAATGATGTGGTTGGCAGAGACTATATCCTATCTCCTACCAGGTTCTTGTCCTGTCTTGCCTCCCCAAGAATGAAGTGGGCAGACAGCAAAGTGCTCATATTGGGAGCACTTTATAGTTAATTTAGGATAAACAACCTTAAATGAGAAAAACAGATCTCAGGCAGGAGTGACAAGTGGAATGGATTGGAACTCTCCCTAGCAGCAAGGTCTCATGTGAAAGCCTAGGAGTGTTACAGTTCCAAGAAGTGTTACAACTGGGTTTCCTGGATGCCCAGTTACCTGTCAGTTCTCTGAAGCAAAGGCAGAGCAGGCGGCTCCACCTCTGGTACCAGTTGGGTTGCAGGCGTGGGACCCCAGCTCCCTGAACTCTGCCCAGGTGGAGGGGCTCATGGATGACCAATTAGAAAGCGCTTTCAGTGAGCCGGGGGTCCATCACCGGCGTCCTTTCTGAAATGGGCTATTTACAGATGTGCACTCTTGCTTCAGCTGCTGGTCTGTCGGTCCAGGTCTGTGACTCAGATTCCAGAGGTCACCTACTGCACCAAGAGGCCGCCCCTGGGCCTGGGCACCAGGAAGGTGTGTGAGCTAACAGGCTAGTGCCCTTAGGCGTGCTCGGGCTCCCAGGTGAACACAACTGGGGGCTGGGACTGGAGAGCTGAAATCTGGTTGCAGCAAGGTGGTGGCCTAGGTGAAGAGGTCCAGGACCCTGGAGAGTGGCTTCTTGGCTTTCAGTCCCTTGGCTGCTGGAGGTCACCAATGAACACTAAAGAGGAAAAAAAAAGCCCTCCCGCTTCTCTCTGGAGGTTTCAGGGGCACGCCAGCCTCACTTAGGAGGCACCAGCTTGCTGGGAACCTGCGTGCCTCCTGTCTCAGTGCAGTCTCTAGCTTGGCTTCAGGAACGTCACAGAGGATCTGTATTCCCAGCTGCTGGATGCCACCTACTGACTAAGTAAAGGGCCACAGTGGGGACACCCCTCAAAGCCCCACTTAGCACAACCGAACTAAAATGACAGTGGGTCATGGCATATCAGAGTGGGGATATGAAAAGAAAGATGCCACTGCATGAAAATAATACCTTTAAAAGTTAAATTGATCCTGTATTATCTGACAGCTGAGGAATACAGGGAGGTTAGGCAATAGGGGAACTAAGAAAGCCACTCGCGAGAAATCTGCTGTGACCTGAAATTTTCTGGATTTGGGCTGGGCAGTAACTGTTTCCACACAGAGCAGCTGTGAGCTCTTCTTTCACGCGAGCCCTCTCTGAGAATGCATGAGGTAAGGGAGAATGAACCAGGGCTATACTCGGCAGCTTCCCAGAGGGTGGGCAAGCTCCGCCGTTTGACCTGGGGTCTTTAGGTGGCAAAGCTGTTGATGTAGCAGGAAAAATAAAAGGACCCAGAGACTGATGTTCAAACTTCGAGTTGAACATCAGAAAAGCAAAGCAGCTGGGCACTAGCTCTCACTCTACCTCGGACTGAAAGGGCTGATCCAAGCACGAGCTCTTCACCAAGTCTCAAACTGCTGAGACATGGCTGGAGAATGAATGCCTCTCTGAGACCTTGCTTCTGTCTTATCTACTTCCCTAAAGCTGGGATTAAAGGTGTGAGCTATAATTCTCTTTTAGACTGACTTACTCTTGTGTAGATCTGGGTGGCCTTGGACTCACAAAGATCTGTCTATCCCTTAATCCTGAGTCCTAGGATTAAAGGTGTAGGTGTGTACCACCACCCCCTAGCTTCTGGCTACTGGGATTAAAGGTGTGTGCCTGCCTTCGAAGGCTTGTGGCTGACTTTGCTTTTCCGAATCCTCAGGCAAGCTTTAATAAATCATACATAATATATCACTACATGTTGACATTGGAGCTACCATAGAAGCTGGTTTACTATTCACTTTCTCATGCAAAGAACGCACCTACCCATTCACATCCACTCCAAAGGAATGGGTCAGTGTCTACAATCCAGAAGAGATTCATAGTGTACACAGTGGCACAGGAAAAGTGAATCCCAGCTCTATTAGTTTCTGTTGCAAACTTGCTTGTGAACTTTGCAGCGAAATATCTGCCCGTTTGACTGTTTGCAGGGTGGCAAAGTTGTGGAAAGGATCTTTCTTCTGAGGCCAATCTTTACCACTTGGAATTAACATTTTAATATCGAGCTATGAAATGAACGTGTACCACAGAAGCAGGGAGGTTTTCCACACCAAACAGGAAGTGTGTTTTCTGCTGTTAGTTGGCTGTAAGGGCTGGCAGGCTCAGATTGCCCTGTGTGCTTCCCATGATGCTCTCTCAAGTGTGACCATCTAGCTCTACTGATGGAGTTCTACCCTGTCCTAGAAAGCCACTGCTGTCTTAGTCACCTTGCTACCGATCCTGGACTTGTATTTTCCTAAAAACCATGTGAGCCCTGCCACCCCCAGATTCTGCTGCTTAGCTTGAATATCCTGGTCACATACAGAGGTAGGTAGGTACCAAAGACCTATTGAGGCTGCCAAAGATGGATAGAATTTGACGACAGAATTTGACTCTGGGCTTTCAACATCCCAGTCTTTTTGGTTGTGAGCCTGGCCTTTAACGGCTGAGCTACTCCTCTAGCCCTCAACATTCCAATCTTTAACATCAAACTCAGATCCCTTAATCAGCTTTGCAGAAGCATCAGCTGAAGATGGGACACTCCCCAGGGACTCTTCGTTCATACTGGTCACCACTTAGTTTTCAAGCCATTTCCTTCCTTCTCTCCCTCCTTCCTTTCCTTTTTATAGCACTTAGGCCAAGTGTTGCGAGATGTGAGCTGTGTTAGGTTTGTAAGACACTGAGGGGTGCACTCTCTCTCTCAATGAACAGAGTCTCTCCTTTGTGGGTTTCTCAGGCTATGTTGCTGGCGTCTCCATCTCTGGCATGATGACATATTACACACAAGGTGGAAAAAGAGCAGGAGAAGTTGATAAAGTCACAGGGAAAAGTGGAGGGAAGGTGCCAGGAGGAGGATTGGGAGGAGGAGGAAGAGGGCATCAAATTGACTGGAGCTCTCGCTGAGAACACCTTCCTTTGAAACTTGGTTTAGCCACCTGCTACCTGAGGCCCTCATCAAGTTCTTGGCTCCCTGATGCCTCTATGTGCTCTTCTGTAAAGTGGGAACTATGGGATTTTTCGATGCAGCGAGTTCAGTCATTCATAACACACTTCAAACTGTGTTGGACACTTTGGTGACTCCTGGTTAGCTTTGTCAGCTTGGCACAAATGGAACTCGCAGAGGAGGAGGGGGCCTCGGTTGAGGAACTGCCTGCATCAGCTGGCCCGTGCAGGTCAGTAGGGCATTTTCTTGACTAATGATTGATTAGTGTAGGAGGTCCAGGCCTCTGTGGGCAATGCCCGCCCTGGGCAGGTGGTGCTGGGCTGTATAAGGACGCAAGCGGAATAAGCCAGGGGGCAGGCCAGTGAGCAGCACTCCTCCACGCTCTATGCTTCAGTCGCTGCCCCCAACTTCCTGCTTCTGCTTCTGCCCTGACTTCCTGCTATGCTGGAGTGCGACTGAAACACGGAAGACAGATGAGCCCTCCTTTTTGTCATGGTGGTTATCACAGCAATAAACAACATACTTCAAGAAGCACTGCTATTGCTTTTATTGTATTGCCTTGGAGTCTTCAGGGTTACCCGAGTCCCTAGTGTTTGACTAAGATTTGGTCAGATCTCCCTAGTGAAAGCCATTGTCCTTTGTTTCTCCGAGTCGAATTTCCCTGTGACAGTCTGCTCCTGGTTGAACACAAGGATTTAAATTCAGCGTGGTCTGATGGGCCTATACCAAGGTTGATGTCAGACACACTTGGCTAAAGCAGGACTCAGGGAGGGAGTTTCGCACAATGCGATCCACCAGGCCTTCTCATCAAGTGAATCAGCTTCAGTATTCCTCATGGAAAGGGAAGTCGGGCTCATTGATGGCGCTGCAACATCAAACAGGAAGAATAAAAGTCCACAGAGGCAAAAATATGGTAGGAGGCCTTCTCATAGGGAATGTTCAGCTATCTTTGCGTCTTCAATCTCTTACCCAACATGACTGTGGACACAGGATATGGGGTTGGGGACACACGACATGACTTTCTCCCAAAGTATGAGAGGAGTATTAAGGAAGGAGGGCCTACAATCGATGACCTGGTCACCAGTAGACTGTCATAATGAAGGATCGTAAGCAAGCTGGCACACTGTTGTCTCAAATTCTCACATTGTTGTGAGGTGAGAAATACTGCTCAAATTGACAGATGTGTTATGAATATTAAATAAGCTTAAGATAAGCAAAGAGCTTAAAGTGTCTGCTCTCTGTAAACTACTATTCAGTGAATGTTTGCTGTAATTAATACTGTCGTCTTACTTTATGGTATCACCAAAACTACCCCAAGCCTCATCTCGAATGAATGAGTAGTAGAGATTGGATTAGGACCCAGATAGATAGACTTCTGAGTCCACCAAATTCACTAGCTCCCCACATACTCCTACTTGATACCCAACTGGTATAATAAACGCATCTCAAAACCTTGACTTTCCCAAAATGTTAATTCTGTACTTGAGTGGCTCAAGCAAAAACAAAACAGAGAAATAAAAACATATTCAACTGGTTTGGTTGGTTTTTTTTTTGGTTTTTTGGTTTTTTTTGCAAATCTAGTTGACTGTGTGTTCCCATTTATCTAGATGGTGATCGTCCTCATTTCCTCCCCGACACCATGGTCTGGGTCCAGTGACTCATCTTTTCCATGGGTTATTTTAAGTCTCTCAAGGCACAAGTCATTGTGAGTCTTTTAAGGGATATTAGGTCATGCCAGCCTCTGGTAAAAATCCCCTCATGGCTTACCCATCCTTTAGACCTCATAATCAAAGCCCTGTCCATGCTCCGTATTACCTGTATGATTGTAACCTAAGGTCTCCGACTTCCCTTTTCTTATTTAGTCATTGCACCACATTCTCAGTTGCATCTAGGGCTCTGAACCTGTTACATCAGGACATTTTCTATGGTTGCTATGACTGTCAGGATGCTATCCATGCCTCCCCAAATGCCTGTGTTACTCACCTTTCACCCCTGCTATCTCCCTAAATGCCTGTGTTACTCACCTTTTACCCCTGCTATCTCCCCAAATGCCTGTGTTACTCACCTTTTATCCCTGCTATCTCCCCAAATGCCTGTGTTACTCACCTTTTACCCCTGCTATCTCCCCAAATGCCTGTGTTACTCACCTTTTACCCCTGCTATCTCCCCAAATGCCTGTGTTACTCACCTTTTACCCCTGCTATCTCCCCAAATGCCTGTGTTACTCATCTTTCACCCTCTTCGACTATTATTTTATCAACGAAGTCTCCCCTAGACAATCATGTATTAAAGTATCTGTCACACAGGGCTCACTACTTCCTGTGCCTCTTGCCCTGCTTCATTTTTCTCTATGACACTTGTCACTCTCTGACATACACAGTAGAATGTAAGACTGGGAACAGGAAGTTTGTAGCGTGACGTCCTGACTATCTAGACCATTCCTGGTCTCAGCACATTGCAGTAAGTTACTGAGTGAATGAGGGAGGGAATGAGAACTTCTGACTCCCACATGGTAGTGACAACTCATTCCTTAAAAATCCCAGTTCTGTGTGTAAGATTCAGAAAATGAGCATCAAATAACAATGTTTCTTACTCTTAGTGATTATCCGGGACTCAAACGTTAATTTTGAGCTTCATAAACAGCATATGAAGACTAAAGTCATCCCATAACCCCTCATGCCTTCTGTTCCTTCCCACCAACCCTTTACAACCTTAGATAAAGCCCCGATCAACCTCCTACTTAGCCTGGTGCCACTTACGCAAACAGGCCACAGGCCCTCCAGTTTCTGTTGAAGCTTAGAATGGTGGCCATCTCTTCATCACTCAGCTGGAAGTCAAAGACCTAGAAAGGACAGAGTCCAAAAACATCCTTAGCAAGGAAAGTGTTGGTGGGATGTGAGGTTCTAGATGTTTCCCCTAATATATCTAAGACAAAGACATTATTCTGTAAATTGAGAGTGAATTATTTATAGAATGTGGTGTTCTAAGAGGTTAAAGATTTGGCTTGTAGGTGAGTTAATTGTGATTCCTGAACGGCATCTCAGAAGGACAATTTTTTTAAGTCCAGTCTAGATATCTACAAAACGTCTGTGAGTGGACAAAGTGTATAGTGGCCAGGACCATGACTGGCCTGTGACCTATGCACTCAGTGGTTTGCAGTGGCGTAAGGCACAGCTGTGGCCAGTCCTGACAGGGCTTTGGTGGTACCTGCCCCAGCCTATCCGTGACCCCTGGTGATCATCCAGCTCTGTTGAGGCCAGCTCTCTGGCTTAGGAGTTGATAAAGTGCTTGGAACATGGGAAGACACGCTGGCAATGACGGGATGGGATGGGATGCTGAAGGACAGGACCCTCCTCCCCTCCCACCATCTGTTCCACTGAAAAGTATCAGCTGATGGACCACGACTCACCTGAATGTTCTCCTGTATACGGGAGGGTGTCACAGACTTGGGGATCACCACCACATTCCTCTGGACGTGGAACCGAATGAGAACCTGTGCATGACGAAGGGAAGGATGTGGCCAGTTATCTACAGGAATACCTACCTCCTTTGGGTGAAATGACAACTGTCTAAGCAGATTCCTATGGCTTTACAACAATTAATATTGACAAGGCACCTCAGTATTTGGAACATTTGCCAGTTCCCTTCCCATGTCCCTTGATCCAGGAAACAACACTATGATTTTCCTAGTTAGGAATGAGGAGGATGGCCTGTTGTCATCCCTCCCTGAGACCCTATATAATTGGAACCTGAACCCAAAACCTGAGGGCTTGGCGGGAAGATGATGGACAGAGGAAGTCCTTGCTTCACTGATACTGGCACTATTTTCTGAAACTTCCAATGGGCTTATTACCCACATTTGTCCCTCTCCAAGGGATTAAAAGCAAGCCACAGTTAAATACACGACTACAAGAATGGACTGGTGGTTAAAAGAAAAAAAAACACTCCATGTTACCTGAGCTATTGTTTTCTTGTGATTTGCAGCAATCTCCTTGATCTTGGGAATCTCCATGACTACGGGGTCGTCTGGCTTGGCACTAGAGGAAGAAATATGACTGGAATGAAGACCACCATGGCTACTGGCCAGTGAGCAACTCAGTGTCAGGGTGAGCACTACAAGGCAGGTGGGGTGATGTGAAAATTTTGTGTTTTCCCCCTGGGTTCATGCATAGGCTCTAGTGTTTCAGCAGTTCTCGAAGACTGCTCCATCACTGGATGGCAGAAACGAACTATTCCGGGGGATCAAACATATTAACATTTTAAAAACACTTTACCCTGGCAGTCTCAATTGGGTTGCCAAACACATCGTCATTGATAACATTTTTCTTTGTGCCTTGAAAACCCATACTAATATTAACAAATTATGAAATGTTAATTTTAAGAGTGACAAAAGAAAGAGCCACCACTCTGAAGCCTTACTGAGGTCTGTCTGGAGAGCCCAGGGGGCTGTAGGCGGTGATACCAATGCCCTTGGAGTGACAGTACTCGATCAGTTTCTCCTGAGTGAGGTATGGGTGACACTCAATCTACAAGAGAAAACACCTCTATCAGAAAGCCTGCTTTCTGAGTGGCTCAAAAGAACTCTTCCCACTCAAGAAAACACGAACAAAGACCAAATGCGACTCATTGATAGATATGCTACGAAATGGACCCAAGGTCTGCCCCCCATCTCATCCTTAACACAGACTTCAGAGATGAGACACAGTAGATGGTATGGACTGTTGATCCCACTGTGAAGCAGTCACCAAGCAGGACCCTTCACCAAAGGGAACTTACCTGATTAACCACTGGCTTATGTTTGAGGCCAGGCTTGTTCAGGAGCCTTTCAATCTGCAAGTGGTTGAAGTTGGAGATGCCCAGGGCTTTCACCAGACCCTGGTCCACCAGTTCCTCCATGCCCTGTCACAGTAAGGAATAGCATTTAGAGGATGACAGGAGGATACGGAGATGCTGGTATGACTTAGTCCTTCGATATGAGGAATGGCCCTTGCATGGTAATGTTAAGTGAAGCACTAACAGGGATTTCCAACTAGACTGTGATACCCTCATGGCTCGTTCCAGCCCTCATACCCTTCCCCAGTTCAGTCTATAAGTCTGTGATCTCTCCTGTGTTAGATGGGTCATCTACCATTGAGCTGCATCTCCAGTTCCCATCCCCCTTTCATGTTTTGATTTTGAGGTAGGAGCTCTCTAAGTTAGACAGGTTGGCTTTCAGCTTACTCTGCAGTCCAGGCAGGATTTAAGCATCCTGCCTCAGTCTCTAACATGGCTCTGGTTATAAGTATGCAGTAAGGAAACCTTGCAGATAAATGGGCCATGGCAGGGCATCCAGCCTAGATGTGGGTAGCATGACATCTGTACCACTGGTGACTGTCCAACCCTGTTGCATCAACCTAAGGATCTAAGGTTTCTTTATTTATTACCTAAATACAATGATCTTGTTCTAAACTTATCACAGATAATTATCCAACCTAAAGCACATTAAACATGAATGTATAATTCATCCATTCTCAGTTCTTGTTTATATTGTTTCCAGAGTGTAAACATACACAATGCATGTGCTTCCTGCTTGGGACTCTTCCAGCCCCACTCACAAGCTAAGGTTTTAGTCACTGAGCCGTGAGCCTCAGGGTTCGGCTACCTCAGCTTATTTGACAGTTCAAATAGCATAGGGATGAGGAGGTGACGGTGAAATTATCTCATCCCAGGGGAGATGTTAGGAAGAGATTTAAATTGGGCCTGAAAACAAAACATGAAGGAAGGTGGTAAAAACATGCACAGTTTGGGGGAAAGGGCTTAAAGGCAGGGGCAAGCAGGGTGTGTTCAGCTTACACACAGTGTCTCATCTTTGGCTACTACTTGAACACTCTGAAAGAGATGAAGGAAATGGACTGTGGGTTCCACTCCCTGGCTTCTGAAGATTTCTCATTGAATGCAGCGTGGACACTGAGATGTTCTGAACTCCTCCGGAGATTTAGTACACAGAGTTGAAGACCACAGCATGGATGAGGATAGATTTTACTAGTCAAGACAGTGGAACATTGATGAGACAAGAAAGTCCAGCGGGCAGTGAGGTACTGTGAATGTTCTTCTGTGTCAGGTTTGGGACAGTTGTATGACCCATCTTGCCCTCCTTACTACACTCGTTTATTTCTCTTTCCCTCTTTTGGAGTCTGTTCCCTGTGGCTTGTACTTTATCCCTGGAACCTGCTTGATAGAAGGAATCAACCTTCTTCGGTCCTCTAATTTTGAAAATACCTCCACATACACCACTTTAGAGTGGAGAGGCAGAATGGGAGAATAATAGTCCTGGAGTTGTATACAAAGTACTGGAGTCTTTTCATACCAGCATAAAGTCTCGAGGTGACCTGACAGAAGACTTTAACTCTCAACACACTTGAAACAAGTTGGAACCTACCTCCCAGGCATCCAAGAATGTGGATTTACTCATGATAGGTTTGCCTTTACTATCTGTGGGGAATATACTAGTCCCAGCCTGTAAATAAAAACAAAGAGATACCTGTGAAGAGATGTCTCAGGACAGTGCATTAGGAAATGTCCATATCTGCATAGAATTTGCTCAAACTCTGGAGAGCTCACATTAAAAGCAGTAACTCTCAATCAATTTCTGTATCAGTCTAGCATGGGATGTGAGCCCCCTATTTCTGGCAATACTGAATGGGCTCCAGATCCATTAGTATATTATAAAAGCCATCATTACCATCCTAGAAATTAACCAATGCAAACCTGGAAGAATTTTAACTCCAAGGCCACTAGACAAAAGTTCTAACAGGAGAGAGTATGGTTATCTGGGGGAATCAAGTAGCCAGCTTTTGACTTTGCCACCTTCAGAAGGCTTGAGAGTTGGAGATCACACCACTATCACTATCACCGTTCATGAGGGCAACAGACTGAGAACGCACATCCCTCCCTCCAGTTCGTGGGAGCAGGGTCCCAGACACTGCAGACTGCTTCCTGAGGATGGGCTGGCTAACCGCCATTATCACTGAACTTTGGAGGTCACTCCCTAGGTATACTCTGATTTACAGGGACTTATGCAATATTATCCCAAGGCATCCTATCCAGGGCATTCCAGGGAGATGACTGGTCATTTGCAATTTCTCTGAGCTAGCAGAAATTACTGTTCCTTTCAAACACAGTTGTATAAAACCCAGCATGAGGTTAACCAAGTCCACCTGTTGCCTCAGCCTCATTTTTTTTCTTTCTTTCTTTTGCTATGCTCAAGATCTACTGGGAAACAGAGAGATGGCAAAGCAGAAAAAGAACGCTTATTGCTCTTGCAGAAGACCTGGGTCGGGTTCCCAGCACCCATGTGGTCCTTTACAACCATCCATAACTCCAGGCCCCAGGGTTCCCATGCTGTCTTCTGACCTCCACAGGCACCCAGCATGGACCTGGTGCACTTACATACATGTAGTCAAAGCACCCATACACAGAAAAATAAGAAGAAGATCTCCTACTTGATCCCTCCCAAGAGTCACAGTCTTGGCTCAATAGTTGTTTTGTGGCATCTCCCAGAAAGTAGAGTGAGGCAGAGAGCAGCTCTAACCTGGAATCCCTGCGGCCAGTGAACTAGATACAGGTCCAGATAGTCCAGTTTCAGATCCGAGAGGGTTTTCTGGAAGCATTTCTTCACCAGGCCTTTCTCAAAGAAGGTGGGCCACAGCTGCAGGTGACAAGAGGGCATGAGGAATTTGGAGAAAAAGGGCCACACCACAGTCGCTCTCCCCCTTTCTCGATTTGTAAACCTGGGAACAGGTCATCCGCTTACAATAAATTTAGTTAAGAAATGCAATCCAGTAGTGAATGAAAAAAAAAAAAGAAGAAGAAGAAGAAGGAAAGAAAAAAAAGAAATAAGGAAAGGACATGCCATGCCATGACTACTCTTAGGTATGGTGGAGGAAAAAGTTTATTGTAGATAAGAGGGAGAACATAGCCAGAGGCAGGGACATCTGGGACAGAGTGACCATGACCAGGCTGAGATGGGCACTGGGAGGAGGGTGGAGAAAGAGGAGGGAAGAGGTGCAGCAGACTGGAGGCCAATGACACAAAAGAGGCAGGCCATCAGAATGTCTGGATTACATAGGGAAGAGCCTCTGGGGTGAGGGCAGCCCAGCCCCGGGGCTGCAGAGTTCAGGGTAGAGGCTGGGGTATGTCAGCCATACCCTGTAACAGGTGGGGACTGAAGGATGCTCGGAGAACCTGGAGGCCAAGTCCCCCTTGCTATATGAAACAGTCACCTCTTCTGTCTGTCCCACATTTCAAACTGAACAAATAGGTCATCAGCTCTCATCAAGTGCATTAAGTCTTCAATGCTCTTGGTATTCTCTTTGTTTCTTTAGTCATTTAACATGGTTGGCCACCGACTAAAATTTCATATTCCTGTGCTATGCCTTTTCCTTGGCTCTCATGTCTCAGAGGGCAGGAGTTTTGGGTGGTTCTTATAATGAAAGCATTAGGATGCAATTAGGTGCAGTGGACCCTGTTAGTAATTCCTTATCCCCTTCACGGTCAGGCCCTGTGAAGAATGACACTGGGTATACACAGGTGTGGCTTCTCCAACAGTGGGTGTGTTTGTGTGTGGAAATCTGTATAGATATAATGAAGGGGGGAGGGCTATGAGATAAACAGGTGTAGAGGAGCAGCTGATAAGCTCTTGAAGCTGGCCACACCCAGATACTTTCACCTGTGTTGAAGTCCTATCCACCAAGCCGGCCACCGTACCTTGCTGACGATGAAGAGGTCCTCCCGCTTCACAGACTTCTCTTTGATCTTCTCTTGGATGGCTTCCCCTACTTCACTCTCATTCTGATAGGCGTATGCACAGTCAATGTGGCGATATCCAGCATCAATGGCGGCCTTCACAGCTTCCTTCACTTTCCCTGGTGGAGACTGCAAGACAATAGAAAAGAAAGATACTCCCAAGGCCCGTTCCCTCTTAAAGGATCCACAGAGACCATATTCTCAAATCCACAGCCTTGCTGGGGTCTTAATTCCAAGAAAGGAAAATATACATTACAAAAGCTTCCAAATGAAAAGAAAAGGTGAACTATTTTTTTATTGTTATTTCACTCCATTTTTAGGTTATTATACAAGTGATGGGTTTCATCATGGCATCTTATTACATATGTCATTGTAATTATGATCACCCGTGTCCTATTCTAGTCAACTATTAGTTGTCCTCTAATCCAGGTTGATCTTGAAGTGCACCCAGTTTCTGAGAGTGACTGATGGCTCCCCTTGCAACTTGCTGAAGGCCAGGCTGAGAACTAGATTCTGAAGGGACCAAGAGGGATTTTCAGGCTCCAGACAGTTAGAAGGACCTCAAAATGGTCATTGCAAACTAGTCTGCTCTGCCATGGTACAGTATGAGGCTGAGCAGATCCCTCAACTTCTCTAAACCTTGACAAACAAATTACAGCAGCAGTACTGGGCCTGCCTCTTGAGACATTTGTGTGGCTTGTTTGCCACAAGACTGAACTTTTTAGCATATCACCTGGCACTTAGTAAGGCTGGGTTGATGTAACCAATATACACCTAATGTTTCAGAGAAGGAACAGATAGGAGACTTTATAATAATCCATTCCCCCACACACACCAATAAGCAAAAGGAGACAAAAGGAGAGAAAAGAACATTGGAAATACCACCTTCTGATCTAACCTAGCCAAGACTTGGTGTGGGGAAATAAACACTCGCACTCACATAGTGCTGCATGCCTATAATCCCACCAGGAGGGTCACAGCCTTAAGGCCAGCCTGGGGCACACTGCCCTCTTCCTTCAAAACAGAACAATACCCTGCTGGATGCGGAGGCCCAAGTTTGGAATCTCAGCAACTGGGAGGTAGAGGGTAGACGAATCCGAAGTTCAAGACCAAAGACCAGTCCCTGCCACATAATGAGTTATAGGCCAACTTGGGCCACAAAAGATGCTCTCAAACAATAAAAATAACACCTCTCACAAAATCTAAAATTTCTTTTTAAGTATCAGACTTGGAGAAGCCCATAAAGCAGAGGACATCAGCTATGCCAGCATGGGGACAAGGGACAGCCAGAAACTCAAAAGCTCTGGGTCCAGGTTCAAAGCCCCACCCTCCCGCACATCCACTGATGGGCAGACTCCTTACAGCTGCACCATCTTATAGACAGAAGTTTCTATCCCATCAGCTGCTCCCAGATAATCACACAGAAACTAATTATAAATGCCGGGCCGATCGCTTAGGCTAATTTACAGCCAGCTCTTACAACTTAAATTAAGCCACTTCTATTCTTCCTCCCAGCATTCCCTCTGCCCCTAAAATCAGCTTTTAATTACCAATGAAAGCAACCCATCTTCTCCTTGTACAGAATTATTCCACAGCACCATCTCCTTACTTTGAAAACAACTCCCTTACAATATTTACATCGCTTTTGAAAGTCTGAGCGTTCATCTCTTCTAAATGTATTCAGGGCAAGTAGATTCCCTGCCGATTTGTGGTTATTTGTTACCATGATGGAACGTGAAATTTGTAATTTGTTTGCAAGTCTTGCTGTTCTAGGGAGATTTCAATCCAGCACCAAACCAAAGAGAGGTCCTACCCTCTGTGCGAAGATGAAAAGAGAAACAGAAGAGGAAGACTAGAGATAAGTCTGAGTCAGGAGAGAAGGGTTCCCAAATAGCTCATGATGTAGGGATGAAGGTTTACATCTGTAATCCCAGCATCCAAGAAGCTGAGGCAGGAGTGTTACCCCAAGTTCCTCCGGGGCCAGTTTAGGTTACAGAGTGAGACTCTGTCTCAAGAAATCAAACTTTCAACTAAGAACAGTTCCTGTAAACAAGCTGACTATTATAGTGTTATCACTAAGGAGGAAGTCAGAGAAGGCAGAGTTACACGATGAAACAGCGTCCGACTTGTCCCAAGAGAGGCTGAGAAATTGGCTTCACTGAACAGTGGGATGGGCATGGAGCAAGTTGCCAGGAGAGATTAACACAACCAGGGCGGAACCTGAGCTGGCTACCTGCCCAGGCTCCGTAGTCCTCAGGCTGCTCAGATTCTACTGTGTCAGGGAATCACATGGAGTCTTGGTGAAGGGCAGGCGCCAGCTCAGTAGCCTTGGCTGGGGTCTGAGACTCTGCCTGTCCCCAGGTCCCCAACCACTGGGATACCTGCATAGAGTCTTGCATTATGAACAGGAGAGAGAGCCAGGTCATTCAGAACTCTCTCCTCTCAGTCACTCAGCCAGTAACAATCCAACAGGGAGCTTCTGTGTCCCAAGGAAAAACTGCCTGAGAAAATAACTGCCCTGAAAACAACTTTCTTCCCAAAGTATAGCACCAACGGGAAGCCTGATAGTTGCCAGCGAATTCTGGGAAAGGCTCAGAGCTCTAAGAGGAACTTTGCAATCCAAATAAGCTCCAAATGAAAGGACATTGGGTGACAACTCTAGGCTTCCAAACCAAATGCAGATGCTGTTCGATAAAGGGAAAATGCCAAGGTCCCCCCTCAGGAGAAGCAGGTGGCCAAGACTGCACACTCACCTTCCAGGTGCCCAGACCCACGATGGGCATCTTGGCTTTGGTACTGAGCTCCACGAAGGTGGCCATGGCTGCTGCCGAGACTTTTCCGAGACAGCAGATGAATGCCTGCTTCCTCTTCAAGGAAGCTGGTGGAGGTTTTATGTCCTGGATGAGGAGGCGGGCTCTTACTGCATTGGCAAGTAGCCACAGTGTTAGAGCATTAGAACAGGAATGGCATTTCAATTTTTAAAGGGCTGATTGGTGTAAACAAAGATAAAACTCCTCACAGTTCAAAGTGTCCTTCGTGCAGAATGCTTAATTAAATGTGGAAGTGAACTATGTAACATGGGTGAAAGGTTCTCCGAGATAAACTGTTAAGTTTATTTACAAAGAGACAATGCCATGGGAGTTGATATAACTCTAATGAACTGAGTGGGTATTCAGTTTGAGGCAAGGGAAAATGTCAAGGCAAACTAAGACATCTTAAAATAACTTTTGAAACAACTGTGGTTGGCCATAGAATTTTAAACAAGGAGATGTCTGTTCTAGAGTAAACTGGCAGGTGAGTTAGTGAAAAGGTAGCCTTTGTGTCAGGATGTGGTTCTGCAAATGCCAGTAATTTAATCTGTATTCATGTAATTCTGCCAGATTGTTGCCCAAAATTTTCTGTAAGCAAAAATTGGGAATCCATCTTCCTCAAGACGCAGCTGTTACCACTCTTGAGCATGTACCCAAAGGACACTCCATCCTGCCACAAGGACCCTTGCTCAGTTATGTTTATTGCAGCATTATTCGTAATGGCCAGAAACTGGAAACAACCTAGATGTCCCTCAACAGAGTAATAGATAAAGAAAATGTGGTACATTTACACAATGGACTATTACTCAGCTATTAGACACGATGATATCATGAAATTGCAGGCACATGGATCAAACTAGAAAAAAATCATCCTGAATGAGGTAACTTGGATGCAGAAACACAAACATGGCATGTACTCAGTTATAAGTAGGCATTATCTGTTAAGTAAAGGATAATCGTGCTACAATCCACAGCCTCAGAGAGGCTAAGTAACAAGGGCCCAAGGGGAAATACATGGATCTCCCTGGAAAGGAGAAACAGAATAGATTTTGTAGGTATACTGGGTACATGCGAGGATTATGCACACATGGGTAAAGGGGAGAGTACCAGGAGAGATGATTGGAATCGGGGGTGTCTAGGGGGTGATGTGGAAACCTAGTGCAACCAATCAGATTCATTTGCTCCTCTGTCTTTAGGAACAGCCATGTTTCTAGAGAACTAAAGATACATAACTAAAGATACTATTTCTAAGGTTTAAGGAGGAAGTGGTCAGCTTCTGGAAGGTTCCCAACTGCCCTAGGGCTTGGGAACCCGAACTTTGTTTCACCCTACAGGTACAATGGAGTCTGTAGTCAAAACGGCAGCAGTTAGGGTAAGGTGATTTTTGCCTGTTCCCAACATGGTCACGGAGCGTTCTGCCAAGCTCATTACAAGACTCCTTTTTTTTTATTCACATGTTGGTGGGCAGTCTCACTATGCAAATTTCTCCACAGAGGCCAGGCTGCTGTCATCCTCTGAGCAGAGGCCAGGCATGCCCACTGCCTTTGCAAGAAGTCCACGGCCATGCCCCGGAATGTCAACAGCCCCTGGCATGTTTACCGGAGAATCGGCCATTCCTTTCTGTCTCTTTCCTTTGAGTTTCTCTTTCAGGCATAGTGAATTGATATCTTGTAGCCCTGGATCCTTGGCTGTCTCCTCCCTCTCCATTTTCCAGGCCTGTTTATTCTGCTCCACAGGTGAGCGGCTCTGACTTACCAGTGAGCCCTGAGAGGTTCCAGGGCCACAGGGTTTCAGTCCTGTCTTGCCATCGCTGCTGGCTGGTGACTTTCCCAGCCCACCCCACAGGGTGCTTGCTGCTGTGGCTGGCCCCTGAGCTGGCTGGGAATGGGCCCTTGGCAATCCTGGCTTTGTCTCCTCAGTCCCACTTTCCTGGCTTCACCCACAAAGTATGACAAGAATTTCAATCCTGGGCTTTCAGTCAGGGAGAAATGTCCCAAATCACAGAGGAGAGGTGTCCCCTTCCATGCGATAGGGGCCAACAGAGTGAGAGGAAGCTTCCTGGCACCCTCGTGTGGCGCTCACAAGACAGGCAGACAAACCAGGGAGCTCTGTAGTCACAAGTAGCCAGTGGAGGGGAGAGACCAGTGGTTAGAGCAGGCAGAGGAGAAAACAGCTGGAGAGGTGCAGTGGGAGGGGCTTTGGGGAAAGAGAGGGTTCCACTAGAAGAACAGGTGCTTAGTAAGTATAATAGCCCAAGCAGTGGAGCCCCGAAGGGCGGAGCAGGAATATGCCCATATGGTGGGTGCTACAAAGCTGGGAGACGCTCCCAGAGCCACACAGAAGACACCCACGGAGCAGGGGAGGAGGGAGGGATGGTCAGATAAGGTGGGAGGAAGAAGCCGCAGACTTTAGTACCAAATTCTGTGGGTGGGCGGGTGGCAAAAGCCAGCAGAAACTAATGATCCCTCCACACCTTAGGAGACGGAGTCAGATTTGCAGCCTGGTTCAGAGTGGCCGAGTTCCTTGGGAGGGAACTCACGTATGCCACTTCTGGTTTCCAGTAGCAGATGAATGAAAAATAAATGGATAGATAGATAGAGTAAAAATGACATGACAACTCCTAGGTATGTATGGTGGAGGAGAAGGTTCATGGTAGATATGAGGGAGAGTATAGATAGAGCAGTATCTGGGAGAGAGTTCAGCGTGGACATGACCCTGAGCTATGTAAGGAGATGGGGGTTGGGGGGAGACAGACCAAGAGGTCAGGAGGGTAAAGGGTAGATGAAATAAGACCAGGTAACCAAAATGGTTGCGCTATTTAGGGAAGGAAAGCTGAGGGAAGGGCATTCCAAGCCCTGGGCTGGAGAGTTGGGGTATAGAGTAGATACGCCACCCCTGCCCTGTAACAGTTAGTGACTGAGGGATCCTGGGAGAACCTGGTGGCCTGGTCTGCTTTGATACGTTAAATAGGCACCTCAGCCCTTCGTCCCAGGGTTTGAGACCTAATAGTGCTAATAATCAAACTCGGGGATTTGTGCACACTCCTCAAGCGCCTACCCTCTTAGTTAATTCCCTATTCCCCCCCTCCTTCCCCCACCTTCATGAGAAATGTGGACAGCATTCCTCTAACTCACTGTGTAGCCAAGGTTGGCCTTCATCTGCTGACCTTCCTGCCTCCAAGCCTTGAGTGCTGGGATTCTAAGCATGGGTCATGCTTGATTTCTTTCTTTTTTTTTTTTTTTTTTTTTTTTTTGTTGTTGTTGTTTGAGACAAGGTTTCTCTGTATAACAGCCCTAGCTGTCCTGGCACTCGCTCTGTAGACCAGGCTGGCCTCGAACTCACAGAGATCTGCCTGCCTCTGCCTCCCGAGTGCTGGGATTAAAGGCGTGTGTCATCACCACCTGGCTTTATTTCTTTTTAAAATTATTGGTTGAGAATTCTATACAAGCACATAATTTGTTTTGATCGGGTCTACTCCGCATTCCCAGCTCTCCAATGCCTTTTCTACTCCATCCCCACCACTATTCCTAACTGTGAGTTCTTTAGAAAGCAAACATGACCCCGCCCACTCATGCTCCTCTCTTTCTGCTCTCTCCTCCCCCACCCCTGCCCCCCTCCCCCGAGGTTCCCCTGGGGCAGACGCGACTTTTCCTGTCTCCCTCTTCTCTTCTGTCTCTTCACCTCTTTTCTCTTTCCTTCCCCACCTCCCGTCCCTTTCTAATAAAACTTCTCACTAAGCTCTGTCTTCCTGGCGTGTCTGTCCCCACTCCAGTCACCCGCCTCCGGATCTAGGCAAGGTTCCCTTCAAGCCTTATCTTAACAACTACTCATTTGTCTGCCTGAGCCTGCGCGCGTCTGTTCACTTACCTCTAGAAAGGCACTCGAGTTTCCTCAGAGGTTGTGGACTTTGAGTAATGTAATTTCTCTGCTGACTTGCCGTGAGTCAGCAAATTCTGCGTAGCTGAATGTCAGAAAGCTGGACTCCCTTAACGTAAACAGGAACTAAGCTTTGTGGGTGAAAGAAAAAAAAAAAAAAAGACTGCCTCTTTTGCCTGTTGGGTGTCTCCTGTGAGAGATGAGATCCAGAGGGGAAGGGGAAAGCAGATGTTGATTTTTGTTTTGTTTTGTTTTTCGAGACAGGGTTTCTGTGTATTGCTTTGGAGTCTGTCCTGGAACTTGCTCGGTAGACCAGGCTGGCCTCGAACTCACAGAAATCCACCTGCCTCTGCCTCCAGAGTGCTGGGATTATTAAAGGCATGCCACCAACGCCCAGCCAGATGTTGATTTTTAGGGACCGCAAGTTTAGATTCAGTTTAGTGACAGACAAGTCCTGACCCGATCGAAGTCAGAGTTGTGGGGGCTGGTTAGATTTAGAGGCAGGATGTGGCTTGGACAGATGAAGCCTAGTGAACCTCGGCTGTCATGTAAGATGTCATTCCTGGTCCAAGCCAGGAGTGTGGGGTAGATAGGTCTCATAGAAAAGGCTGGATGTGGCATGGCAGGGTCCTGAGGTCTGGGAGATAGGGAGGAAGGTTCCTGGTCCCGCTCCTTTGGAGTGAAGACCGAATGTGTGCTGGATGTAGGACCCACGCTAAGCCTGCTGGGTTGTGGGAAAGGAGCGAGCATGTAAGGTCAGCGCACTCACCAGGCTAGGCTGGGAAGGAGGCTGTGGTAGTCTGGATACCCAGTGGGTGGTGAATTCGGTGAACAGCACACGGGCTCTCTCGGGACTGTGTGTGTTAAGATAAAGCTTGTGGGGAACCTTTGCACATTCCATGGCATGACCACGGCAGGCGAGGGTGACCAAGGGGTGGGGGCGGGATGCGAAGACCCCCGCCAGGCAGACAGAGCTTAGTGAGAAGTTTTATTAGAAAGGGAAAGGGGGGGGGGGTAAAGAGACAGAAGACAGAAAAGAAGAGGGAGACAGGAAAACTCCTGTCTGCCACAGGGGAACAACGGGAAAGAGAGAAGCCGGAAAGAGAGCATCAGTGGACTGGGGTCTTTCTTTTAAAGGGTCCTTTGCACCTGGGCTGACCAGGGTACTGCTTGAGTGCATTCTGCCAGGTGACAGGGGCAGGCCAGCAGAATGCCCGGATCCTTACAGTGTGTATTTGTCATATTTATTGCAGCC